CCACAAGGCACGATAACGTAGTAATTCTAGGAGACTTTAACTTTAGTCATATTGATTGGAATTTCTTGACTGGGAATTTAGAATCATACGACTTCTTAGAAGTAGTTCAGGATTGTTTTTTGAAGCAGTTTGTGACAGAACCTACAAGGGGAAATAACCTGCTTGACTTAGTTCTGGCAAACAATGAATCCCTTGTTAATAATTTAGAAATTTCAGAGGAACTGGGTGCTAGCGACCACAAATCAATTGCGTTTCGAATTGAATGGAAGTATGATAGTAGGGATAACTCAGTAACAGTCCCAGATTTTCGCTTAGCAGATTACGATGGGCTTAGAGAATACTTAACATCTGTTGTTTGGGGTAACGAAGAGAGCTATCAATATGACAGTTTTCTGAACACTATACATGCTGTTCAAAGAACGTTTATCCCATATAAAGAAATTAGATCAAATAGAAATGACCCAAAATGGATGAATAATAGGCTGAAATATCTACTAGGGCATAAGAAGGGAATTTATAGGCGTATCAAAAGAGGTGAGGGTCAGCTTATGAATCAGTATATTGACATTAAGAGGGACATTAAAAAGGGGATAAGAAAAGCTAAAAGGGACTATGAAATTAAAGTTGCTAGGGATTCGAAAACTAACCCAAAAAGTTTTTTCCAGGTCTATAGAACAAAAGTTAGAGATAAGATAGGTCCCCTTAAAAGTAACTATGGGCATCTTACTGACAAAGAGAATGAAATGTGCTCGATTTTAAATAATTATTTTCTCTCAGTTTTTACACAGGAAGACACTAACAATATTCCAGTAATTAATTTTTATAGTGGGCTAGAAGAAGATAAATTATGCAACATCAGTCACTAGTGAAATGGTTGTGAAGCAGATAGACAGACTGAAGCAAAATAAGTCGCCGGGTCCTGATGAGCTTTTTTCAAGGGTTCTTAAGGAATGCAAAATGGAACTGTGTGAACCATTAACTAATATTTTTAATTTATCTCTTCAAACAGGATACCCCTCAAGGAAGGTTCCTTGATGTTGGTGAGGGGCTCTTGATTTAGGGAATTGGATCTGTGCTCCAGTTCCCCAAATTAAGCCTGAATGCCTTCCACATCCCCCCCAGGCGCTGTATAATCCTCCGGGTTTAGCGCTTCCCCCTTGATTTTAATAATAATAATCTTCAAACAGGTGTAGTGTCTGATATGTGGAAGATGGCTAATGTAATTCCTATTTTTAAAGCAGGGGACAAGTCGTTACCGTCAAATTACCGCCCAAAAAGCCTGACCTCAATTGTAAGCAAATTGCTGAGTCAATTATAAAAGAGAAAATAAAAACCTTCGAAAAGCTAGTTTTGATTAATGTACTCAGCATGGATTCACGGGGGAGCCTTCTTGTCTAACAATTTTTTAAACTTTCTTCAGTAAAGTTTGGGGCTTTACACAAAAAAATTTTTGATTTATTTTTTAGATTTAGTAGGTTTTGATAGAGTTCCGCACCAAAGTGTTAAGAAAGTGGCAGCTCATGGCTTTGGGGGAAAAAAGTGCTCTCGTGGATCGGTTTGGCCATGACACAAGGTTTTTGGTCTCAGCCACTTCTTTTTAAACATTTTGTGAATGCCCCTTCCTAAACCAGATTTAATGACAAAAATTGTGACACAGTTTGCAGATGATTTATTCATGGTTCATAAACCCAGAAAAGGAAAATACAATATGAAGAGTCAAAAAAAAAATGAAATTGAACTTCGTCGAACACTAATTGGGGAGAAGAAATGGAGTTTATGAAAAATCCTGACAAGGCCTTTTTAGCACGAAGGATGTTTTGCACAACCATCGAAGATAAAGGGGGTTTCTCCTCAAAGGGACACCCGTAGCCATTAAAAACCCAAAAAAGATCTTGGGATTGAAAAGACAGGCCCGTCACTAATTCATTAAAAAAAGTCAACACAGCCAAAACCGGGCTTAGAGATTTCGATTTAATCAAGCCCCCAAAAAAGTCAAAAAAAAACTGTATAAAATGTAATAAGACCTTACTTAAAACCTTGTGTCCCCCAAAGTCTTCAACAAAAACCAAATGCTTCGGTTACAAAGGGTCCCGAAAGAGCTCTTTGCTTTATTACCCATACCGGAGGAGAGACAGAGTTTTAAAAACAATTTACACACACGCAAGACATTACTGCCAAAATTACGCATTGACACTTAAAAAAGAAACACTTTATACAATGCAAGAATATAATGCCCCGATAAGAACATCCTATACAAGTGAAAAAACCACGATTTAACCTCAAAACTCCGCCCCACAGGGGCTCAAAGAATGACCTCCCCCCAGAGGGTTTTCGTTTTATTTATAAAAATGATTACCCCGACCCATGATTTTTAGTTAAATTACCCGACGAGAAGATGGTACCACCGAACCCTTCTATGTATACTGAGAAAAACACGCCCCCAAAATTTGGGAACTCTTAAAATTTCTTTCTATGTAAAATTATGCTATTGACTATTTTTGGACACCCCCATTAAAAGCTTTGTCACGAACTTTTAAACTGGCCAAAAATAATTTCCTTTACTGCTATAAAATTTTTAAAAATGCGGAAAAAAAAAAAAAAAAAAAAAAAAAAAAAGCAATTGAAAAATTTTATAATTCTACCAATTCAGAGTCTTAGTTATATCCTATTAATTTTTTTGACCTGATGGGTTAGATTTACCCCTTAAAGAATATTTATTAAATCCCTACACTTTTTTATTTGCACCAAGTGGTTGGGCCATTACTTTTATACCCCACCTTCCCCCCCCTCCCACCCTTTTCCAAAAATTTTTCCTCCCTACCCATCCTTCTTCCTTACCCATCTTACCAAAGCTCTGGTCATAAGATCCAGATCCAGACTGTTAAAGAAGGTGGCAGCTCATGGCATCGGGGGAAAAGTGCTCTCGTGGATAGAGTCATGGCTCACAGACAGGAAGCAGAGAGTGTCCATAAATGGGGTTAAATCCGAGTGGGGATCTGTAACAAGTGGCGTACCACAGGGATCAGTCTTAGGTCCGTTATTGTTTATAATATATATCAATGACCTTGATGAGGGTATTACTAGTGATATGAGCAAATTCGCCGATGACACAAAGATAGGTAGGATAATTGATTCAAACGTAGATGTTAGGGAACTTCAGGAGGATTTAGACAATCTCTATTTTTGGTCAGAAAAAGTGGCAGGGTGCAGTTCAATGTAGATAAAAGCAAAGGGTTTTGAAGCTCGGGCGGTGTCCATAACCTAGCACTTATAAGTTAAATAATGTTGAACTTAGCATACAGACTGCGAAAAGGACTTGGGGGGTTAGGGGGAGCAGCAACCTTAAACCAAGACAGCAGTGCTTAAGCGTACGTAATAAGGCAAATAGATTATTGGGATTTATATCAAGAAGTGTAAGCAACAGAAGTCCAGAGGTCATACTGCAGCTTTATACATCATTTGTAAGGCCTCACCTAGATTATGCAGCTCAGTTCTGGTCTCCATGTTACAGAATGGACATAAATTCGTTAGAAAACATTCAGCGTAGAATGACTAAATTAATACATAGCATTAGAAATCTTCCTTATGAAGAAAGATTGAAGACTCTTAAATTACATTCACTTTTTAGACGAAGAATGAGGGGAGACATGATCGAAGTGTATAAGTGGAAGATGGGTATTAATAAAGGGGATATTAATAAGATCTTGAGGATATCTCTCCAAGAGAGAACTCGCAGTAATGGATTTAAATTGGACAAGTTTAGATTTAGAAAGGACATAGGAAAGTATTGGTTTGGAAATAGGGTAGTTGATGAGTGGAACAGTCTACCTAGTTGTGTTATTGAGGCTAGGACTTTGGGTAGTTTCAAATTTAGGTTAGATAAATATATGAATGAGAGGGGTTGGATTTGAGTGGGACTTGCAAATGAGTGGATAGAGTTATCAGAGCTTATTCCTTGGGTAGCATTGAAAATTAGGTTGGGCAAATGTTTTGTTAGTGGGATGGATTGTAAAGGACCTGCCTAGTATGGGCCAACAGGCCTGCTGCAGTGATCCTCCTTTCTTACGTTCTTATGTTCTCTTAAGAAGAGAAGGCATATCAACCAAGTTTTCATGGTAAGGGAGAACCAATATATTTTTAGTTGAATAAGGTTGGTTGTCCCTTTTTGGGTTGTAAAAAGCATTTCTAGTATTGCTAGAAATATTTTTACAACCCAAAAAAAGTATTTCCGTCTGCAAAAATGTGTGTCGTAAGCACCATAATACGTAGGACAGGCAACTTCAGTGTCTCCAAACATTTAGCTAATAAACTGTTATCCAGTCTAGACACATATGTCAGATGACACTAACCCACGTACACCGCCTCCCTACCTAATTTCACCTCGCCTACGCCACTTCAATGTACAAATCTTTTTGCTTTAGAGTTACCTCTGTATCAGGACTGAAGAAGGTAGAAGTCACACGTGGCGAAACGATTCCTTTAATAAATGTCATAACTATATATATGTTTTCCTCCACATCTTTGCGTTATCATAATACCCTTTACAACCCCAGGCGTTGTATGACCCCTAAGGGACTACCGCTTCCCCATGTATGCACTAATATCTTTATTTCACTAAAATTATTTTACGTTTTAAAAGATCGCGGTGACTGCGATCATTGTTATATTTCGCTAAATGCTGCTGGCTGTCTATGACATTGGTCGCTGTTATAACTAGCTAATATTATTAAACATAAACTTGTTCCCGGATTTTTTATTTTGTTAAGTTTGTTTACAGTGGAAGAGAAGAGTTGAAATTTACTATATGATCCAGACAGAGCGAATTTTGAAGAAGTTTTGATTTTTCAGACTCACAGAGCAATAAATTAAGTGTTTTGATTTTATTTACTTTTATAGAAGAGAGAACTGGGTATGATGGTAAGATACAGAACATGGCGGGTCTGGCGTTTATACAATCAATATGGTGTAAGGTAGACTCGTTGCTGTGTGAGGTGGAGTGAGTGAGCCTCACTGGGCCTGGTGGGTCGCGAAATAAGGCAAGAAGCGTAGTAGTTGTGATGAGAGTTCCCTAGGACACACACACCTGTGCTGGCACGGGGCAATACACCTGTTTATATACTCCATTACCCTTTTACTTTCGTCAGAGGCTGTCCATATAAATTTTAGAAATTGTGGGCGGTCAACAAAATTCACCACGATGTCTATCATCATAGACGGTAAGTAATGAACCATATTTTAATTGACTCGAGAGTACATTACAGTATTATATAAACTATACCATTTAAGATAAATATGTTCCTTCATCTGTAGCGCGTACATTTACTTAATTAGTCATTCGATATTTCAGAAGAGGAGTTCAAGGAGAAACTTATCCGGAACATGAAGAAGGAGGTAAGTTTATTAACAGTTTCGTTATATTTTGACCTTCGCACACCCAGACATATGGGGAGGACTTAACATTATGCTGGAGTGTGATTATTGTTGTCACCAGGACTGCCAGGGTAACATGTTAGCTTAGTGCTAACACCATCACTTGTAGTACAGCTGACAACACTCCTGCCAGCAGACTATAATGCTTCCAGCAGGAAACACTGTTGCCAGTAGGAAACACTGTTGCCACCAGGAAACACTGTTGCCAGCAGAAAATAGTTACCAGTAGAAAACACTGTTGCCAGCAGGAAACAGTTGCCAGCATACAACATTGTTACCAACAGGTTACACTGCTACCAGCAGGCAACACTGCTACCAGCAGGCAACACTGCTACCAGTTACCAACAGGTTACACTGCTACCAGCAGGCAACACTGCTACCAGCAGGCAACACTGCTACCAGCAGGCAACACTGCTACCAGCAGGCAACACTGCTACCAGCAGGCAACACTGCTACCACAGCAACACTGTACCAGAGCAACACTGCTGCCAGCAGGCAACACTGCTACCAGCAGGCAACACTGCTACCAGAAGGCTAAACCTGGTTGTATATGTCGCATGTAACATTTTGAGCATATGACAAGCGCTAGGCTACACCTTGTGAGTGCTTGATATACACTAGACCACACCTGAGTGCTTGATATACACTAGACCACACCTGAGTGCTTGATATACACTAGACCACCCCTGTGAGGCTTGATATACACTGCCCCACACTGAGTGCTTGAAAACACTAGCCACCCTTGTGAGTGTTGATTAACTAGACCAACCTGAGTGCTTGTATCATAGCCACCCTTGTGAGTGTTTGATATCACTAGACCACCCTGAGTGCTTGTATACACAGACCACACCTTGTGGTGCTTGATAACACTAGACCCCACGGGGTGCTTGGGTTATACTGGCCCCCCCTTTTGGTTGCTTGATTACACTAGACCACCCTTGTGGGTGTATATCACTAACCAACCTGAGTGTTTGATAATACTGGCCCCACACCTTTGGGGAGGTTGATATCACTAGACCCCCCCCCGAGTGTTTGATTATACTGGGCCACCCCTTTGGTAGTGCTTGATATACACTAGACCACACCTTGTGAGGCTTGATATACACTAGACCACACCTGAGTGCTTGATTAAATGGGCCAAAACCTTGTGAGTGTTGAAATACTAGGCCACACTTGTGAGTGTTGATATACACTGGCCACACCTTGTAGGTTGATAAATGGGCCCCACACCTTGTGAGTGCTTGAATACACAGGCCCACCTAGTGCTTGATATATACAGGCCACCCTTGTGAGGCTTGATAATACTGGTACCCTTGTGAGTGCTTGAAAAATTATAAGGCCACACCTTGTGAGTGCGTTTATACTAGGTCACACCTTGTGAGTGCTTGATATATACTAGGTCACACCTTGGGGTTGTTTGATTATATAGGCCACCCCTTTCTGAGTGCTTGATATACACTAGACCACACTGAGTGCTTGTATAACAAAACCACCCCGGTGTTGTAAAATTAGCCACACCTGAGTGTTTGATATATATAGGCCACCCCTTTGAGGTTGAAAAATTTATACAGGTCACACTTTGTGAGTGTTGATATACACTGGGGCCAAACCCCTTTGGGATTTGCTTGTATATCTGGGTCACCCTTTGTAGGGTTTGATATCCCATTGGTGCCCCTTGTGAGTGCTTGAATACACTAGGCCACACCTTGTAGTGCTTGATTTACTAGGTCACACTTTTTTGAGTGTTGACATTCACTAGGCCACACCTTGTGAGTGTTTGATTCCCATAGGAACCTTGTGAAGGTTTGATAAAAACCCTGGGCCCCACACTGTAAAAATGCTTGTAACACAGGCCACCCCTTGTAGGGGCTTGATATACACTAGGCCACACCTTGTGAGTGCTTGTAACACTAGGCCCCCCGTGAATGTTTGTATACACTGGGCCACCCTTTGTAAAGCTTGAAATACACTGGGCCCAACCTTGTGAGTGCTTGATATCACTAGGCCAACCTTGTGAGGCTTGTATACACTAGGTCACCCTTGTTGACACTAGGTCACACATTGGGGTTGTTTGTTTAAACTAGGTCACACCTTGTGGACACAGTCCACCTTGGTGACACTGGTCACCCTTGTTGACCTGGTCACACCTTGTGGTGCTTGATATACACTGTCACACCTTGCCTGCCCCTGGGTAAACACTTGTGAGTGCTTGCAAACAGGTCAAACTTTGGGTGCTTGATTTCCTAGGTCACACCTTGAGTGATGCATTGGTCACACCATGTGCTTGATATACCTAGGAAACCCCTTGTGAGGCTTGTTATACTCTAGGCCACTCTTGGAGTGCTTGTAACACTAGGCAACCTTGTGATGCTTGATATACACTAGGCACCCTTGTGAGGTTTGATATACACTAGGTCACCCCTTGTGAGTGCTTGTATACCTGGCCACATCTTGGAGTGTTGATATCATAGGCCAACCTTGTGAGGCTTGATATACATGGGCACATCTTGTGGGGGGTTTGTATCACAGGCCACCCCTTGGAGTGTTTTGTTTATACACGGCCACCTTGTGAGGTTGATATACACTGGGCCCACATCTTGTGAGTGTGATTACCTGGGCCCACACCTTGTGAGTGCTTGATAACACTAGGTCACATTTTGTGAGGTTTGATATACACTGGGCCCACCCTTTGTGAGTGCTTGAAATCACTGGCCCAATCTTGTGAGTGCTTGATTAACTAGGCACCCCTTTGTGAGTGCTTGATTACACTGGGTCACATTTGTGGTGTTGATATACACTAGGCCCACCTTGTGATGCTTGATTACACAGGCCACTTTGGAGTGCTTTTTAAACTGGGCACACCTTGTGAGTGCTTGTATCACTGGTCACACTTTTAGTGCTTTATACACGGGTCACACCTTCAATAAGTACAATTGTTTAACATTTTTAACCCTTCAAGGGGGTTGAGGGGGGCCTTGATGCTGGAAAAGGGGCTTTTGTCCTTGGAATTAGAGCTGCTCTTCCGTTGGATCAAACCTGATTCATGCCCCCCAAAGCTGTAAGACTTACGGGTTTAGCGTATTTCCTGAATCCATCCCAAAAGGGTTCCCTTTGACGCGGGGTGAGGACTTTGATTGGGGAATTGGATCTGTGCCCCATTTCCCTAAATTGGCCTAAATACCTTCCCCCCCCCCCCCAAGCTCTAAATCCTGGGGGTTTAGCACTCCCCATGATTCCCCCTAATCCTGTTTATAAGTTTTGATTATATAATTGTGCCGAAAGAAAAAACTTGCGTTTTTAGCTTAAATAGCAACGCTCTTCTTGCGAAAAGGCAAGCGAAAATTTGTGTATGCAAAATTTTCCAGAACCTTCTAAAACCCTAACAAAAAAAAATTTTTCTTGTTTTTGTTTTTTATTAAATTTATTGTAAACTTACGTAAAATATTTTTTGTTGAATTAGGCCAAATTAAATTGCTCTTGTTTATAAAAAGGTTGGGAACTTTTCAAGGGTTCTTTTGGTAAATTATTAATTTTTATTTTAAAACAAAAATAAAAAAAATGTTAAAGTATAAGGAAAATTTTAGAAGGACTCAATTTTAAAAGAGTTCTTGAAAATGGCCAGTTTTCCTATTCGGCACGACAAAAAAAAATTATTTAATATTTTATAATATATATATATATATATTTTAAATATATATATATATATATATATATATGTTTTTTGTTTAAATTTTTAAAAGCTGTTGAGTGTACATGTGTGTTGTAAAAAATTTACATATTTTATATGAAAAAAGTTATTGAGGAAGAGTTTTTTTGGGGGGAAGCAAAAAGGAAAAGAACTAAAAAATTATGGTCCCCCAACTATGGTAACAAAAACGAAAATCACCACTCGAAAGCAAAAGATTGGGCAGACGATGCACCATCCCCCCTTTTAAAAGCAGGGGTGTCCTAGCCTTAAGAGCCATCAATAAGTGTCAGGGGCCCCGGGGCTGTTCAATCCCTCCCAGCCCATAAGGGGGATTCCCAAAGACCCTGGAGTCTTCAAGCTGGCAGGGACAAGCCCCTAAAGTCAGTTCCTGATCAGCCGGGTGTGGCCCCGTAGTTGGTTTTGCGTGCAGCCCAAAAACCCTGGTTACAGGCTTGATCCCCAGGGGCCTGGTCACAGCCCGGGGGCGGGGGCGTTGCCCCCCCCCTGAACTTCCCCAGGTAAACCCAGGTAAACTATGTGAAAAAAATTTTCTCAGAATGGTGTGTATTTTTCCCGCTTTAGAATAATAAATCCACATGCCCAGTATCTCAGTGATAAGGCATTGGCCTTTAAAAAAAAGGTCCGAAGCATAAGACTTTAGAGGGTGAAGAAAGGGAACTGCCCTTTCCCAGTCTGGGCAAACTTATTCCCTCCCCAAAACGCCCATGACCCTTTAAAGGGTTTAGCCGCCCCATGAAAACATACATTGACAAAAAAGGTAAGTTTCATTTCTTCCTTTTTCACTTATGATTAAAAAAATACTACGTTACCTCAGTAATCCCTTTTTGTAGGTGAGGCTTTTTAAGGGCGGTTAGAAGAGAATCTTTACCTTCCAAAATTATTTTTATATTTTGTTTGACGCGGGAAACGGCTAGTTCATTGTTTTAAATTTTTTTAAAGAAAATTTAGGGAGTGTTTATAAAAAACATTGGTAATGGGGGGGAAGAGTAAGAATTTTGGGTAAAATACATGGTAAAAGCTAATAAGTTTGTTTTTTTTTGGAAAGGGCAAAGGTTTTCAAAAACGTTGTGGTTGCTTGGTGGCCAGATGCTCTACAAAGAAAGTGCTGTTAACACGCCCTTGACTTGTCCTTGGGAAATTTTTAATTTTTGTTTAATATTTTCTTTTTTTTTTCAGTCTCGTATTACCCTACCTTTATCACTACAATCCCATACCTCACACCACCCCTCCATCCCCCATCCCCCCTTTAAAC